GACAGCAGTAAATACCTCACAGTGACCTAGAAGAAGGTTGGCACCCCTCGTCTGCACGTCTAACAAGCGCCAACTTCCTGTAATGTACGTACAGTACTATGAACCAGACCCAAAAAGGCGGGCACTCCTCATCGGCACTACTGCGGTAGCATTACAACTACCCCTCCTGTACAGTAATAGCCTCTGTTTGTAAGTAGGAGTCGGATGTAAGTTGGATTTATGTAACTCAGGGACTGCCTGTATATGTCAGGGTTGCAGGTAAACGTGTCTGATGACCTGCAGTCCACAGGTCTTTTTGAATAAACTGACTGCAGGTCCTAAGCTGCGGGTACTTTTAAAATGGCCACGTTACTTGTATTTCAGGGCTGGACAAATCCAGCCAGGTAGCCAATACACCTTAAAAATTACAGATGGCTCCCAACTTTTGAGTTTTTTTCTAGTTATAAATGGAGCTGGCTTCTAAAAATAAATAAATGGCTGGTGGATTGGACAGGCTGGCTCCTGAATTCCGTATTCATTTGTCTACCTCCTGATTTATTTTAATCCTGTGCTTCTGAGCATTTGAACAGTTTGCTATCGGTGGCCTGGTTTTCAGTACACGGACTTCAGTGTGTGAAGATGATGTCATTGGCAACAGGAGGTTAATCTGTGCGGAAGCATGATGAGAACATTGGCCTGTAGTTTAGATCTTAGGTTTGGTTGCACGGGGACATTTTTTTTCCTTCTACTGAGAATTTAACTGCTTGTTGACCGTCATCTCACTAGGAGTACTTTGATTTTAGTGCTCTGCAAATGAAGTGACTGCCAATAAGTGGTAAGATCTTTCAGAAGCTAGAGATTAAAATTGGCCTTGCTAAATGCCAATGCTAAACCTAATGCTAAAGAGCGTCCACCACCCGCATTGGCGCAACGATTTTCCAGATGTCAAATCACTCTCCTGGCCAATCTGTCTAACACGTAGGTGACTGCGGTCGGCACATTGCTCAGTCTTTCGACAGCCACACCGCACTGCCCTCGACCGCTTAGGGGTGAACTTAGCCGTTTAGCGCAGTTGACTGCTTTTAAGTCTTCGTTAAGCAGGTGTTGGCAATGGTCAGAACCGCCTGTTAATCACCTCCTTTTCTTCAGCCTTCTACTACCCCAGGTTTCAGTGTAAGATGTTTGAGGTAAGCCTGATGGCTCCGTACAATATTATAAGCGTTAGTGTGCTGTGCAGCATTAAAATGAAGCAAGCATGCGTTAATGTGCGAGAAATATGCAACATGTTTTTTACTTTGATATTTTACTGATTATTTCTGTGGACGCTGCATTTGCTAAAAAAACAGACGTATGAATCGACCCTTAAAGTGTCCACTTTTCCACTTTTCCAGCCCAATTGGGTAACGCCTACTTTATATTTCTTACATGTTCCAATTTGCATTTCATAACTTAAAACAAAATGATTTGATGCTTAAGAGTGTTTTTTTTTTTTTTCTAACTTAAAAATCTAGCCCTGGTGTTTTCTCAAATGTGACTGCAAAAGTGGAACTTATTAGTTACTGGTGTCCTTGGACTCCGCTTTAAAATGATTCGGACTCCTACTTCCTACAGATTTTGGTTTCTGTTAAGTTTCCCTGATATTTTAGGATAGCATGACTCCATATGTGTAATCACTTTTTAACTTCTTGAGCTCCTGGTAAATGAAGTCAGCCTCTGGCTTCTTATGTCTGTAGGATACTATACTAGCTGCTGGTGCTCCTGCCAACTATTGTGCATTACACCTCCTACTGAGTGCGCTCTTAATATTAAATGAAGTCAAAGTACAATGGATTACATTGGGAACCCCTATAATGGTCAAAGCAGGTATGCCGGTCCAGGAACTCGAGTAGACCAATTGAGCCTCTCAATGATGTAAAATAAACTGTAACACTTCAGTATCTGCCAAAACTGCGATATGAGTTTTGTGTAGCTTGCAGCTCGGGGTGTGGGAAGTGTATACTGCAGAGCGCTTAGGCAACCTTACAAAGATAAGCCAGTATCTCTTTCTGCCCTTCATATTTAGGATAATAGATACCCGACTGTGGCAACCTTAGGCCCCATTCACACGTTTTGGGATTCCTGTGGTAGGAACCTATGGATGGACTGCATGTAATCCTATCGCATAAGATTACATGCGGAATTGCCGCTTACAGATGCGGCTGCTGTTACCCGGTCACTAACCTGGTTAAGTTGAGATAAATCAGAGATGGGCACAGGATCAGCTTTTAGTATTAGTACACATCTTGTGCCAGCTGCTCTTGAAGTACTAAGGGAGTGAAATGTACTCTCGGATCACTTCAGTCTCTTCTCCCTATAGTCACTACTCTGTCAATCACCTCTCCCGCAGGTATTCCCCGCTCGTATCTCTATTCCTGTTTTACGGATTGGTGGCACAGGTGGGGGAGGGGGCGGGCACAGCGGGCTCTGGCTCTAGAGAGGCAGGGTTTTACAGGACTTTGTTTCCCACGTTTGTCACGCTTCCTCCTTGATCTTAATTGGGTCCCTGGCCACCCAAGAAAATGCGGAAAAATAGTTAATGTCGCAAATTTGGCAACATGCGTTCCGCTTTTTCCTCCTGAGCATTCTTGCATGCAAAGATGCTGGAAAAACAGATTGGCTTGCCTGCTTTTGGGGCTTGCTATTAGTAATAGCAACACAGGTGCGTTCTGCCTTTGTGCATGCATCGTGAACACGCGCCGAAGTGTGCACGCTTATGCGCGCTTAACGCGTGTTCCTTGATATGCCCTGATGTGAACAGGGCCTTAGAGTGGAGGTCCATTTTAATGAATCATTTATATGCATGATGCTTAGAATTCTTTGTCATTTACTGCCCATTTACGCCACACACGCTTGGCAGAATTTGTAGTGTGGACATATGCAAATGGAATTCTCACCTTTTTAGATAATGTTGATAATAAAAATGACATTACTATTAGACAGGGTTTTAGACAGAGAAGAAGTAGGAAACCCAATGGGTGCCCAATCCTCTGCCATGCTGTAGGTTTAGTTTTCTGGTGGCTGAAGGATTTTACACTGGTCTTGGTTTTAGTACTCACTGTAGAATGAGGGGCGGCTCTTTTCAGGAATTATGAACTTTTAAGCAAATTAAGTGATAGTTCCCTTGTGAACTGATAGTTATATATTGTTTCATGCTAGTAATCGGTCTTTGCTCGTGGGGCTGCAACAACTAATCGATTATGAGAATAGTTGTCAACTATTATCAGTTAGAGATTTTTTAAATCAACCAGTCGATTAGTTGAAATCTGGCAACCTAAACGATTATGAAAATAATAGTTAGCTGCAGCCCTATTTGCTTGTTTTTATTTTTTCAGTATATTCAAAGTAATTAGTGAAGAGGAGCGAGCTAGAACCTTGTTGGATGAAGGCAAGTACTATCCCAGCAGGTTGGCTGCACTAAGTCGAGTTGTTCATAGCCCACAGTAATGAATGCAAAGTATGCAGTAACCATATGGCCTTGTTCACACCAAAAGCGTGTGCGTTCCAGAGCGGTAGCTGCTGGAACGCACCGCGATCGCTGAAAAACTTCCCCTTGCGTTTTCAGGCGAGAGGGGGCGTGACGGTGCATTGTATTCAATGGCACCGCTTCCACGCCCCCCCCCCGCCTGCAGTGCGATCAAACGCCTGGCTAAATTTTGCCGGTGTTTCGTGCCACTTAAAATGCAAAAAATAAGGCTTGCCCTGTTTTTTGCGTTTGCAGTTCGAACGGAACGCTGGCAAAGTTTTGCCACGCGTTTGATCGCACTGCGGGCATGGAAGCGGTGCAATTGAATTCAATGCCCCCTCTCGCCCCAAAACGCAAGGGGAAGTCTCTCAGCGATTGCGTTGCATTCCAGCAGCTACTGCTCTTGAACGCACACACTTTCGGTGTGAACAAGCCCTTAGGCAGGCCTTCTGCTTCCAACAACTGAAGGGTTAACTGTAATTTTTCCACTGCTGCTTTAAAAATGAAATGGACAGTTTGGATTGTTTGGACCGCCTTGTACTGACAACTGAATGAAGAACACTTCCTGTCTTTCTTGTCTTGAGGCTTTGAAAAACTTCAGAACACTAAGACCCTGTTCACACTTGGCATGCCCTGCCTTTGTCTGTGTGCCACACTTCAGCCCATTCATTTCAATGGTCTGCCGCACGTGTAGCAAATGCGATAAAAAAGCTCACGCAGCAGTTTGAGCTGTGAGCTTCACACGTGGGCAAAGACGCATGTTTTATTGGCCACATTTGGGATGCCATTATCAAGTAATCGCACCACAAGCACATTACATGTTTTTTATGCACTGTGTGAATGTGCACATTCATTCAACACACAAGTGTTAATGGGGACTCGAACATTTTTTTAATTCTGTGATGTTCCTGATTAACAACATTTGCTAACTGCTTGGGAACTGTCAGCAATAAGTGCAAGACGTGAGTGTTTGGTTATATTCTGCAGTGCAATTCATTAGTATTGACTTGTGATGAGTAAGCTGTATGAGGGAATGCTTCCCATCTGTTTCTTCTATTAAGGCTGACTCTATTGGCACAGCACGTTTCACAATATTTGATATCTTGTTCCACTTGCTTGAATGCTGAAGCTAGTCTGCTATTAATATGAGCGATAGAGGCATTCTACTACTATACATTTAGGAAAAAAATGGTGCTATCTGTAAATGTTTAACTTTTTTTTAAATGGTTTTCAATTCTTAGGCCCCTTTCACTTAGCGATCTGATCGGGTCCGCCTGTCAGTTTTTCAGCCGGACACGATCAGATGCTTTATGCAAGTCTATGAGCAGCCGTGTGTGAATGGACAGGCATCCATTTACAGCCGGCTAGCCACGCCTAGGTCTGGAAAAACAAACAGATCAGAGATCCGTTTTGACAGACCGGATTTTGCCGGATCTGGGGGTAATCTGAAGTAAACAGACATATGCCCGTTTACTTCCCATTCCCTATAGACACACATGGGGTCCTGCAGTTTGTTTCGATGACATCCGCTCCGTACGGCTGTGATCAGGAGAGGTTCTGTGCCCGGATCCTCTCCTATCTGACATCCGCTCCGTACTGCTGTGATCAGGAGAGGTTCTGTGCCCGGATCCTCTCCCATCTGACATCCGCTCCGTACTGCCGTGATCAGTAGAGGTTCTATGCATGGAGCTGGCTCCTAAAATATCCTGCTGGCTCCTGGGGTCCATATTCATTTGTCTGGATCCGCCCAGCTGCGTGAGTGACAGCTGGCTCTGCCTATCTAGAGGCAGAGCCAGCTGTCCCTGTCACGGCTCTGTGCCGTGACAGGATCGAGAAGTGAGCGAACGCCGGTATGTGTTCGCTCACTTCCCGATCTACTGAGCCAACCTGTGACAGTCTCATGGTCACAGGTCGGCTAGAACTATGAGGTGAGTGAAAAGCACTCACCTCATAGTTCTCCTTTAGGCTAGATTCCCACCTAGGCGTTCAAAATATGCGTGTATGACGCGCGTTTTGCGGTGCATGTTTTAACCGCGATTTGCAGCCCACAAAACGCGCGTCAAACGCGCGTTTACGAGGGCTATCCGGCTGTATCCTAATGGATACGCGCGAAAATACGCCCCAAAGAAGCTCCTGTACTTCTTTGGGCATAGGGCGTTTTTCAGCACGTTCCGACACGCTGAAATATGCCCAAGTGAGAACAATGCCCATAGGAAATAATGGGATTTCACTTGCAGGGCGTTTACAGCGCGTCGATCAGCGCTGTAAAACGCCCAAGTGTGAACCCGGCCTTAATGGCTCTAAAATCATTGCTCTCACTCCGTTTGCGGCAATATGCAACAGGCGC